GATCGCGGCCAACGAGCCACAAGGGAAAACCGCTCGTTCGTTTTCCCTTTCCTCTCTCTCTCCCATTTGTCGCACAACTACTCGAAGCGTGGGATGATCGCGTGTATTGAAAACGGTGACGTGACTGGTTAATTCCTGGGGACCTAGTATCGGAAAAGTTAAACTCGATGCTCCTTTCGTGTAAAATTCTACTTTTCAAGGATTCGACGCGAGCCTATGTATATCTCGACGTAAAAAAAAAAAACGAAGAGAAAAAGAAGAGAAAAAGAGTAGAGAGAGGAGAGAGAGTATTCTATCGACCCGTGTTTTATTCCGGTTATAAATAATCCAGGGAGCACGAGACGGTCACGATTACGGGAGTGCAAGCGCACACTAAATCGCGTTATCTCGACTGCCGCATCCCCGGCTGTGTTTTCTATGGAATCGAACGTATTCTCGCCGACGGACTTTCAACCAGAGACTTCTCTGGTTTCCGAGGCATCGATTCCTCCTCCACCGGTGTGAATCGGTGATTGGCTGAACCGGCGACTCCGCCGAGGAAATATGCAACATCGGCCAGTTGTTTTCTCTGGAACGATCGTTGCCAGGTTCCTCGAACGGACGCACACGTCTAGAGTTCGTGGCGGGACTGACCTCGAACGAGCACGAGTCGCAACGACGTTGTCCACGACGAAGCTCTAATTGGTCGAACAATCGATCGCCTGTCTCCGAGAGCCTCGACAGCTTCTAACAACGCGTCATCTTTACGCAATACGTCCGACACTTTGCCCGATATTATTATCGAATTGTACACGTATTCTCTTCGATAGGAAAAATCGACACGATCTCAATTATACACCGTATCAATTAGCCTCGTTAATCTTATTTTCGCATCTACGGGAGAGATTACCTAATTACGTTCTGCTCGAAATCGTTCGATCGACTTGCGTAACTTTTTACCTCGTTTGCACAGTGTATCATCCCTTCGGAGAAATAAATCCGTGTAAACATGGAATCGAGTTAAGTTATTGCAAACATCGAGTCATCACGTCATCCACGTTATCGCGTCCGTTACACGTTCCATAAAAGTACTTTCGAAAGTTTCAAACTCCATCCCGGTTGCTCCTCCCTTTTTTCGTCGTCGTCTGTAAACCAGCAGAGGAAAACTTCCGGTCCCGTTTGATGGGAGACCGATACGGGACGTGCCTGTTCCAGTCCCCTTGAAGTGAAAGCCGCTTTTACGCGGTAGCCGCGGGACCGGATAGTTGCCAGCTACTTTCCTCTCGAGCTTAGACTGCACTCTTGCCAGCGAGGATTTCCGCCGGAATACACGTCCTCGTATCGGAGTTTACCCCGCGAGGACCGGACTGACTTATAGCCTGAATCGTAATCGGGAGAGGGGTCCGAACGCTGTCGGAAATTCGAACTTGCACGTTAAGCGGCGATCGGATTTCAGCGAAAATCAAGGTCTCGATCGGGTTTTCATCGCTCCGGATATCGACGCTGAAACCAGAACGCAGTATCGCTGTACTATACGCAAACACACAGGGTGTACCTAACTCGTTCCTACCCGTGACCTGAAAACTGCTTTAAATATCGACTCGACCTAACTGTGATGCGCAATTCCTTCGACTGACAGCTCTCGTCACACCCCTGTAACAATCTCCGCTGCAAACTTTAACAAAGCTCGCCCCTCAATTTTCCCACAAGGTCGTCGTTCTACGTCGTTTCTACGTCGTCGAGTTTTCGAAAGGAAAGTTACGTCCTCGAAGGTAAAGTTTCACCTACGATTAATCTAGAGGTAAGAAGGGGACGACACACGTCGACGCATCTTCGTCGGGTAAGAGAATTCGAAGGCGCCGCCAAGACGGGCGTTCGGGCGGTAATAGGGGTAGGACTACGACAACCCTCGAAGCCCTTGGCGAGGCACGTTTAACAACGGCCAGAAAATGGGGCTTTAGCCAGTCTTGGTTAGGGGGTCTAAACAAGCTTACCCGCGTAGTACTTAATAAATACATTTCTATCAAATACGTGTCAATCTCTCAATTCACCTTACAGTCGGTTGGAAGGTTAAAAGAGACGCCTGTAATCGTGTCGATGACAAGTAGTCTTGATACGATAATAACGCGATAGATTGTACCCTGATCTATTCTCTACGATGAGATACCACACAAGTTTGTTGGTACCTCGCGGCGATAGGCTACCCGAAACAATTCCAAATGTCACGCCCCGTTCGTTTCACCTCGCGATCTATATCTCGCGACTCGTGACGCAATATCGTCGGTTCTCTCGAAAAAGATCCACCGATTCTCTCAGTCCTACGTGTATCATTTTCGTACGATCTATCGCAACGTCGCTTTCACCGTGAAACTTGTTCTTCAAGTTCGAGCCGCCGTCGAGCCGAATAATCCTTGTGCACGGCTAATCGATAGACACGTACGTTGTGCGAGCAGTTTAAGCGATACGCGGATATCGGTATCGCGAGGTGAATTATTTGCACGAGGCAAGTATATCTATTCCTCTGCTCCTGCTCTCTTTTTTTTACTTTTGCAAAAGAGGACACGCTTCTACTCGCGGACTATGACGAGACAGGAATCGGAGAAACGTGTTTTTACTTATGCATCGCGGAACGGCGAACAGGTCTCTCTTTCTCAGGCGATACTCGAAATGTTTGCGTGGAAACTGGCGAAGAAGTTGGCGGGAATCGAGAGGTCTGTTCAAAATTCATCGCACAAAATCAACCGCAGGTTCGTGCCGCTCGATCTCTCCGCGAGAGCGAGTATCTCCGGTGCACGAGCGTGCAACGTGCAACGTGCAACGTACAATATACGTATCGAAATATCTAACACACGTTCGATGCCCTCGCGGCGATTACAAGGTTTCCGCGAGAAATCGTTGTTCGAGTTGTCGCGCGTATCGAAGTTTCTGTGTCATCGTCGAGGCGACGAAGGACGCAAGTACCCACGTATTTCTTGCCCGACGCGATCTACAGCTACTTTAATAAAAGAGATCCATGTTTGAGATGACGCGACGAACGGTTATTGGTCGGCGGAACTAGGCGTTTAGTATCTTGTTACCGGGTGTAGCCACGTACAGGCCTTATCGTAGACAAATATTGTTTCAACGGGCCCGTGTATTTTTCTTATTCCGCTCGAAATTGGAACGCGAGCCCGATAATGCCACCGGGAATTACACCACATGAGTCACTGTTCCTCGCTGCAGATAAGAATCCAGTCACCGAGCGCGCCTCCACCTACCTCGGTAAACATCAGCTGTAACACCTAGTCTCTTAGGCAAACGAATTCAGATTACGAGGAGAGTCGCCTCTCCTTCTTCCTACGGTGCCCCCTTTTCCTCTCCCAATCGGCAGGTTCGACGAAAAAAGGAAAAAAGCGGGGAAGAAAAAAAGCTGGTGTACCAGCGTTATCAGTTTAGCAGATAACATCGACTTTTGTCCCCTACAGTTTTATCTCGATCAATTTATTACGTCCAGTTAGCCATATGGCGATTCGATTGTTCAGCTTATACCAGCTTTCTCTCTCTCTCTCTCTCTCGCTGCGTTTCTTGCAAATTTCTACTCGAGAATGGAAACGAGCTGTCGGTACGAAGGAGACAAATTTTGTCGAATTTTCCAAGAATACTCTCTCCCCGTAGATGCGTACGAAGCATGTGTGTACGTACACTGGGCAGATGAGATCGTTGCGCGAGTAATATGTACGCGCTATCTGAGGAATTTACAATAATATTTACAGCAAACGATACGCCGTTCTCTGCAGCCTGTTTCTAAATGACAGCCGTTCGTTAATTAACCCGTTAACGGGCTGGACTCTGTATGCTTATCGTTGTTAAACAGAAAATCTCGCGTATCGATCCTCCGGGCGCGTCGATTAGGTTAATTAGAACTATTAATACGATTAATTTTTCCCCCGCTAATTGTTTGCGTGTTTCATCTCCGTCCACCTCTGCCCCGGTAATCGTCCAGGGAATTCCACGGACGCGCCCTTTTGTTCTCGCGTAAACCTACTCGAACACACACTGTGTCAACGTCTTGATATACCTGGTGTGTGGCGTAACGGCTCGTTTGACAAACACCGCCAAGAGCTGACAGGCTTGGGAATTTTGGCGCGTGGTACGCGAGCTTTCGGAAAGCTCGTTAGTTTTCTCCGGCGAGAAAGTTGCGGTCGTCGGCCGCGGAGAGAAAGGAAGAGAGAGAGATAAAGCTGCAGAAATCTTTGCCCGATAAGTTTCTTTCTCCCCCCGCGGAGAAACCGCAAACCGTCCGAACGATAACGAGCATTACTGCGGAAACGATAATTGCTCGGTGAAGAACGAGCGGCATTGATTCGAACCCTTCAGCTATTTAGCCTGCTCCCAGAGAGGAAACAATGCACTTTCTCGGTAGAGTCTGGTTATCCTCTTTTCCGAATAATTGGAAGAAGTTGGGATGGAACGGAAGGAAGGGTTAAGAAACGAGACGTGCGCGGAATCAATCGGTTATTTTCCGACAGACCACCGAGGAGTAAGCGGCGAACGGGCAAAGGGAGCGAGTAAAAACAGTTTATTTTCGCACTATTTTCGCGCGGCACGTTGATTCGCGTATCCGACGCGGCCACGATAATCTATTTTTAAGAGAGGCGGCTCGCGGTACAAAGAGCGCCGGTGCTCGGCTGAAAAGCGGTGGAAAATGCGATATGTACGATATGTGCGGAGTGTAAAAGCACGAGAGAGAGAAAGAGAGAGAGAGAGAGAGAGGGGGGTAAACCGGGTTACGCCCCAATGTAAACGCGTTTGCATCCGCGCGAATTAATCGACAAACGAACGAACCACGCGTTAAGAAACGATTGATCAATTCCGCGGTTCTCCAACCGTGCGAGATTCCCACGCAAGCGTTGGTCCCAATTGATCAGCGCGCGCCTGGCCTCTTCTTCGCCTCGAAACGCGAACAATCGTCTCGATTTCGAAGCGTTGCTTTCCGAATAAAATCGATAGCGAACAAGGGGTTCCAAACGAACACATCTCTACCCCTTTTTCCTCTTATTTTACCAACGCGACCACGTCCTCCTCTCTTTCTTCTCGTCTACTGCGCGTCGCTCGCGTCTCGAACGGCTCCAGAGAGACTTAATTGCGCGAATTTGCGACACACCGTACGTACCACCTTATTTCTCCAATTCTCTGCTCGCTCTCTGCCTGTTTCGATCGAGAATCGAACGATAAATCCTGACGAGTATTCGCGGCACCGAGATACGTACCATTCGCCTCTCGAGCAATTTCGCGCGCAATTGATCTGCGTATTTGTCCGAGTCGTAGGTAAAAAGAGAGAAAAGGAGACTTACGGACGCATGCCAGGAAGAGAAGCCCGATGCTCAAGTCCATGCTACCGAGATACTTCATGGTCCCTCACGGTGACAAACACTGTACGTACTCGTCGCGAAGAGGTGCGATAGAGAGGCGCGTCGAACAGCGTTGAGAGACGACGACGAAGAACAGTCTACTTCGGGAAAGAAAGAGGGAGAGGGCAGAACCGGCGCGGCTCTGGTCGCACAACGACACCCGGTTAACTCGGCAGCCTCGAAACGACTGACTGTCGTCCCGTGGCGTCGTCGTCGATCGATCCTCGAAATCCAAGCGTACACAATACGGAGCCGCGTGCCGCGCCGCACCGCACCGCGCCGGCTCTCCTGGCCATATTTTCGCGGTGCACGGGGCCCGTCGCATGCACACGTGTCCAACACTTCACGGTCCCAGACGCTCGGTGAAACGTGGGGTGAATAACGGACCGTGGGAAGGGGGAGCAGGTACGAGGGGCAAATCTCTCTCTCTCTCTCGAAATCTCTTCCGCTCGACGAGAAAAGAGGGGAAGGATGCGTGGATCGAATTAGAAGTCGGTCCGGGGAAAGAAAGGATTCCCAATGGGACTGTTGTTTAGAGGTACGGCCTTAACCTAAGCGAATATTGCCACCTTCCGGTACTCTAAACTCAATTTCCGGATCGCCTATCGCCTTCCGCCCCTAAGGGTGATTATACTCGTCGCTCAGAAAACACTTTAGACGAAATATTCAAAATTGGTTATCCCTCTGGAAAGTTTCGTACTTTAACGTTGGAACAACCCCGTTAATTCGAGCATTGTTCTCGATCGTTCGCGGCTCGATGCTCCACATAGGGCGAGGAGAGGAGCGCAAAAACCAGGTGCCGCCTTATCAGAAAATTGTTCAAATATTGCATATAATTGATAGCAGTCCCCGGATCGATAGGTGAACGAAGGCTGCGGGCCAGGTAACACCGAGAGGCCATCTGTGTAAACTGGGTGTGTTTATGAAACGCGAGCTTCTGGCTTCGCTGTGCAACGCGGAAGTGAATTTTCGCCGATTCGCCGCCACGCGACACATTCGCCCACGATTAATCCAACTACAGAGGCCTGTGCTCCAGATTCGATCGATCGATAAACTTGGGATTGATCGTGTGTAGAACGGAAGGCTGGTTTCTCGCCGCGGGTCAAAACCGAAACCGTTCTTGCTAAACAAGAGCGCGCTCCCCGCTCTGAAACGGTATCGTTTATCTCCTATCGCGAAAATTCCCTCGAGGGCGTCGAGCGAATATTCTCCTAGGCGCACGCGAGCCCTCTTATCTCATATTTCCAAATTCCAAATTTCAGATTAGATTCCCTCCGCTTTCTTCTCTGCCTCGTCGCTCGCGCTGTTGCTTCTTTATTTGAAACTCGAGAACTTCACCAGTGTGTCCTGCAGGAGTAAGTGAGAGAAGAATGTTACACACACGTAGATCGTGGAAGCTTCGTTAAGAAGTTACAACAAAAGACACGAGCCACGAAAGGAATTGTTGTTACATATTACGATGCAAGGCGAGAACGACGCTGACAAAAGTTACACTCGACACCTTCCAACTACCTCGCATCGTAAACACAGCTCGCATAAACAGTCTACATTTACATATCGCCGATCTATTTCTATTTTGTATCATAATAACCGCGCACACGTCATTCTTTCCTCGGTAGTTGACGTTGTTGCTGTAACTTTTTAATAAACCCTCCGACGAACTGTGTTTGTACAACATTTTTCCAACGTACCGACAAAGTTTCATAGGAAACAACCGGGACACTGTGCGCGTAGCGAGACAAACAGATCTTTCCTTAGAGAGTATTAACCCTCTGTGGGCCGAATATTTTTCTTGACTGTAAAAGAATTTATGTAACGTAAAATTAGCAAATATCGACCTATAAATGCAGAATAACAGTGAATTCAGCAGTTTCATATACATATATCATATCATAACGAATACATATTGTAAGTTTGAAGTGACAACGGTTATCAAGAAAGTTACTGGTTAATAAGGAGACATTGTACAACAAGACGTTTATGCCATTTTGTGGAAGAAAGTTCAATTATTTAATAAAATATCGACATATTAGTATGTGACTTGAAAGTTACACGGGCCCATAGAGGGTTAACGCTAGGTTCACTAGGAAACAACGTATTTCGTTCAAAAGCTTTCAAATTATACGCTATTAACTTGTAAACGAAACTGCGCGATATTACGTATTTCTGTAAAATTCGAAATGTAAACCTACTGTCTACTTTATCCTCCAATTTTAGTAGTTTTCTGAGAAGAAACTTGGAATATTTGGCCGGATATTTCAATCTCTCACTTTCAGCGAGAATTATGCGAAAGGGTCAGAACGAACAGACTCCTCGAAATCAAGTTCTCGAGAGTTGTAGCGATCGGCGGTGTCATTAGCGTTCTAAAACACAGTCGGACGCAGTTGTAGGAAAAATTTGTTGCTGGCCGCGACATGTGTTCGGCACACGAGACCTAAACGAAGCATAAACGCGACAATAGGGGTCGTTTCCCGGGCAGGCTCGAGGGTCGAGCCTGGAACATCTGTCGAGGGTTCGCGATCGAAGGGTATATAACCGTGCAGAACGTTTCGCACTCGGCCGTTTTCTCACTTTGCACGTGCCGTTTCCTCGTACGTATTTAGCGCGGCGGCCAAGGAAAATTACAAGCATCTTGTCGCATCGACGATAACTCGCGATTCTTATTGCCAAATTGGACGAGTCACCGCGTGATTTTATCGTACGAAAACTTACCGCTTATCGCGATCGAGCGAATGTCAAGAGCCGAATATTCCGATGGTATCGGTCGCGTACGCCGTTAGTATTTTCGATAGCCGGCTAAGCCTGATCAAAATTCAATTATTCGAGAATACGCCGGTACCCGTGCGCATGAATATTCCGTCAAGTTTTCGCTAAATAGATTTCTCCCGATACCGTGCGCGGTAACTCGCCGCTTTGATTAGCGAGAATCGCCGGGGCGAGGTGTAAAGGAAGAAAGGGAAGAGGGGAGCGAAGGAGAAGCAATTATAGCGTGTACTCGGAGGCAGAATAATTGCGGTCCGTTCCGTTTTATCCAGCGACAACTAACTCGTTTCGCCGGCGAAAACCTGGTTAAAGGAGAGGTGGTCGGAGAAAACCGTGACCCGGTGAGAAGAGCAACGAGGCAGCTATGAATGTTTAATTTCATAGGTTCCCGTGACCCGTGGGATGTGGCACTGGAGCGATACTTTTCCGGGAGCAGACCTGACTGCGAGAGGTCGTTTGTAAATCGGTCATAACTCCCGGACTTGCCCTTGACTCGCTCCAGGTACAGGCGAGAGGCGAGAGGCGAGCGCGAGGGAATGGAAATGCATCTGTGCATTCCGAATTTTCCAGGTCGACGCTAGCCCCTCTCCCTCTCTGTGCAGACGTGTGTTGCGTGTGTACGTATATACGTGTGGAGACGCGCGGTAGCGTTCTGCACATGGCCAGAGAGCAGAGAGACAGACTCAGGGCCGACGCTGTTCAGATACAATAGAAAAATGGGAGTTTCCCCGAGACAATGGGGAATACTCTCCTTTGTCGCGCGAGTCGAAGGTCCCCTCGCTTTCTATCTTTCTCCTTTCCAATCTTCCGCCGCTCACCTCTCTCTCTCTCTCTCTTTCTACGTCTGCCTCGAGTGCGAGCAGATATCCTCTTTAAAACCCTCCACGGAATCGAAACGGCCCGGCAGACGTGACAATTAGACGTTCCGATGTCCGCTTCTCGCTGCCTGCTGCCGTTCTCTCCGACTACCGGAAGCCCGAACGGAGCCGTCGTGTTCGCCCGTTCAACCTGCTCGAACAATTAGCCGAATATCGCGGTACCGTGAATTCTTTACGGATGGAAACGGCTGTCGACACGGGTTCGACGACCCACGAGAAATTTCACCACGATGCTCCGCGTGGCAGGTATAACTTCGTATAACGAAAGATCGGTAAGTGATTTAGGAAAAAGAACGACGACGAAGAAGAAGAAGAAGAAGAACGTTATTGATTTTGGAGCAGCGTGACCGCGAGGAAGAACGCGAGCAAACGCGTGCCGCTTCCACGACTAAATTAGTTTCCCAGCGGTGACGGTGTCTCGTTTCCATTCAATTAGCCCGCAGATCACGCCTGCCGTGTTTCACGCGGCTGGCGTGCTCCGGGGTCAACGGTTACGTGTCCGTTTTTAACGCGCGCGCGCTCTTCTTCTCTCTCGTCGCGACCGCTGAATAATTTATCTCCCCGTGAATTACTTTCCCTTCGCTGCTGGATATGTATACCGCGGTTACGTGTCGTAAAACGCAACGTCCTCTCCCTTCTCGCGCGCCTTATCGTACCGCTCGACCGCCTCCCGTCTATTCTTCTTTGCCCCCTTGTAAAAGCGGAACGTCTCACCTAAGTTGCACACCTCCGGGTATCTTTACGGTTTCGTTAGCGATCTCGAGAGCTCCTCCGAGGCGATTTTCAATCGACATTGATCGCGAACCAGAGGTACTGAGGAACGTTTCGAGGTTATGTATCGTTAACGTTCACGGCGAATGTTACGTAACAGGCCGCGAGATCGATACGCGGACGTTCCACGCGGTTTTACCAGCTGTCGAACAAGTCGTTTCGAGTCCGTCGATATTCTGTACAGATATCGCAGAATATGGTGAATTTCGTGCTCCAGATTTGCACGGTTAAACGCCAATTTTTTTTTCTTAATTTAACGCACCGACGCAGTGCTCTATTGAGCTTTCACTTTTTATCTAATCGCTGGCCAGAGGTGACGGTCTGAGTGTACGTATTCAGAAGCGGAATACGACGAGGCGGAAGTATTGAAAACGACGAAAGTGTACAATCTCTGGATCGTTAAGTCAGCGTCATTTTTTACGCAAAGTGATATTGCATCAAGAGGAAAGTGAAGAAGTGGCACGGAGGTGATACCGAATAAACCTGTCACCGAATGCAGGTTTTTGTACCACGTCACGAGGGCTCCGGAGACCCCTTATCATTTGCGTGTCGCTTCCTACGTTACCGATTAAGCGTAGAATAAGATTACAACGTTAGCGGCAGTTGGAATTCGAACTAAATGTAAATGTGTAATTACGAATAAGTGTTGAGCGAAAGGATGGCTGTGGTGTGTGAGAGAGAAATGAGTAGACTGAAATGCCGTAAACTAATACCGGTATATTGTAACTTTTTGTAAAATACACATTGTACATTTATG